TAGAAATTGATATTGTGGTAAATTTTTACTACAACAAAATAGACCTCAGCCAAAAGAAAAATGAAAAATTTATCACATCCTTTGTAAGAGCCAACATGCCTGGTAGTGAACTAACTCCTCCTGATTCAAAAAAAAAAAACACCAACTCCTTGAAGTTCCATGAATGGAGATAGATATGTATCACAACTCAATCACCAGGGTTTTTTTATTCAACAATTGGACCCACGCGGTTTACTTTTATCAAAGTGATTGGAATTTGGAGCCGTGCGAAATGCTGGAAGAAAATAATTGAGAGAAAGAAACAGTGAGCTATATATGGCGTCATAACACTTATCAGATATCAAGTTGGGTGGTTGTCGATTGGTCTAGTCGTCTTCCCAAGTCAATACCGCGTGGAGCCCAAAGATGGCTCACAGCTGTATGGTGTTGTCTAAGCATGCCTCTTGCCCACTCGTTTCTCTCTGTAAATTTCCCAAACATTATTGGAACTCATACAGACAGTGTTTTGTTTCCTTTCCATTGCAATTTGCAATCTTTTCCATTGTTGAGTTGCTTCAGGATAGAGTTCCTAAATCAAAGAGAGTATGGCAAATACACTTGTTTCTGGCCTTGCCAACACCATCTTGGGAAACTTGAGTTCTCCGGCACTGCAAGAATTTGGTGCAGCTTGTGGCCTAAAGGATGAGATCCAGAAACTTAAGAGTACTTTCACTGCAATCCAAGCTGTGCTTCAAGATGCTGAGGCTAAGCAAACCAAGAGTAAGGCTCTGCAGGATTGGCTGAGTAAGCTTAAGGATGCTGCTTATGATGCCGACAATATATTGGATGAGTTTGAGACCGAAGCTCTCATACGAAAGGAAGACCGTCAAAGAGGTGTGTTAAACCAAATAATTGCCTGCTTCACGCATAGAAATCCTTTAGTATTTCGCTTAAGAATGGCTCATAAGGTGAAAGATATAAGGGAGAGATTAGATACCATTGCAGATGAGAGGGATAAGTTCCACTTGAAAGAGGGTGTTACAGATTCACAAGTTTATGACATGGAGAGAAGGCAAACTGGCTTCCTTGTGAATGAATCAGAAATTTATGGTAGAAATGAGGAGAAAGAAATGATAATTGATGTGCTGATTAACAATTTGAGCAATCAAGATGATGTCTCCGTCTATGCTATATGGGGTATGGGGGGACTTGGAAAGACCACTCTTTCTCAATTGCTCTACAATGATAAGAGGGTAGAGAGACACTTTGAGTTGAGGATTTGGGTGTGTGTATCTGATGATTTCAGCATACTACGGCTGATGAGGGCAATCATTGGGTGGATAGAATGTCGTGCGTGCGATATCACAGAGTTGGCTCCACTAGAGCGACGCCTCCAAGAAAAATTGAGTGGGAAGAGATTTTTACTTGTGCTGGATGATGTGTGGAACGAATACCATGATAAGTGGAATGGACTCAAAAATGCACTAAGGTGTGGAGCGAAAGGTAGTATGCTTGTGGTAACCACTCGAAGTGAGAAAGTTGCTCTTATGATGGCTACGCTTCCAATATTTAACCAGAGATGTTTGTCGGAGGCTGATTCTTGGAGCTTATTCAAGCACCGTGCATTCGGGATTGGAAGGAGGGAGGAGAACTTAGAGTTGGAAAAAATCGGCAAGGCAATAGTGAAGAAATGTGGCGGGGTGCCCTTGGCAATAAAGGCTCTTGGAAGCTTCTTGTGGTTTAAAAACAACATAAGTGAATGGTTATCTGTGAAAGAAAGTGCAACTTGGGATTTAGCAGATGATGAAAATGCCATCGCACCAGTCCTAAGGCTAAGTTATAACAATATATCTCCATCTTTGAGGCAATGTTTTGTTTATTGTTCAATATTTCCCAAAGACTATGCAATGGAGGTGGACATGCTGATAGAGCTTTGGATTGCAAACGGCTTCATTCACTCTAAAGGAGAAACAGATCTGTATCGTATGGGCCGTGGGATCTTCAATAATTTGGTTTGCAGGTCTTTCTTTCAGGATGTCAACGAGGGCTACATGGGTCGCTTGACATGTAAAATGCACGATCTGATGCATGATCTTGCAATGTCTATTATGATACAAGAGTGCTATATAATAGAGCCTGGGAAGGAGCTGAAAATTCCAGAAAAAGTTCGCCATTTATCTTTTTATGTGAGCTCACATTGGATGGTTCCTCGATGTGAAGATGTGCGAAAAGTGCAATCTTTACGCTCCATTGTAGTTCTATCATGGCACATGAACGGGAAGGATATTGCTACCTACATCTCAAAACAAAGTAATCTGAGAGTGTTGGACTTGAATAACTGTTACTTGAACGAAGTACCATCTTCAATTGGGCATTTGAAACATCTTAGGTACCTCAACATGTCGAACCCTTGGATAAAAATTCCGAAATCAACGAGTTATTGTGAGATTCATCCGTTGCTCAGTTATAGGCAAACAATGACAGAACATGGGTCAGGGTGGTATAAAACTGAAAAATTACCATCTTCAATTGGGCATTTGAAACATCTTAGGTACCTCAACATGTCGAGCACTGTTATCAAATCCTTACCGGAATCAATGACTTGTCTGCAAAATCTACAGACATTGAAGCTGAAAGATTGCAGCCTACTTCGTAAATTGCCCAAAGGTATGAAAAATTTGAGAAATCTTAGATGTCTTGACATTAGAGGATGTGATTCTCTTGTTTGTATGCCTGCTGGACTCGGGCAGTTAAGACACCTACAGACTTTAAGCATCTTTATTGTGGGTTCGGACCGTGGTCAACAAATAGGCGAGCTGAAAGAATTAAATCTTAGTGGTGAGTTGACCATCAAGGGACTCCATAATGTAAGAGATTCAGAGGACGCAAGAAGTGCCAACTTAAAGAGGAAGCAGGATCTTTGTGCTTTGATATTGGATTACGGGGATATCAAGACTGACAACTTACTAGATAATGATGAAGAAATTCTTGATGGTCTCCAACCTCATCCAAATCTAAAGAAGTTGAGCATATGGTCGTATCAAGGCTTGAAGTTTCCTAATTGGATGCTAGATTTGAATCTGATTGAAATCTCTCTAAGACATTGTAAGAGATGTGAACATCTTCCACCTCTCGGGAAACTACCCTCCCTCAAGGTTCTTTCTATTGTTGCAATGGATGCTTTTAAGTGTTTCAACAATGACTGCTATGGAGATGGGGAACAATCATTTCCAGCACTGGAAGAGCTCATTTTCCGTGATATGCCTAGTTTGGAGGAATGGACAACAGTTGATAGAGGAGAAAATTTTCCTTGTTTGCGGAAATTATGGATCCATGGATGTCCCAGGTTGACTGAATTTCCTTGTATTCCATCACTTGGGAAATTAAGCATAGAAAACAGCAACGAGATGCTATTAAGGTCGGTGATGGATTTCACTTCACTTTCGTGCCTTGAATTATTTAGTTTTGATGAGTTGGAGGTTCTTCCAGATGGACTGCTTCAAAATCACAAGGTTCTTGAGACCCTATGGATTAGTAGACTACGCAATCTCAAGACCCTGTCACATCAGCTGGATAATCTTTCTGCTCTGAAAAAATTGACAATTAATTTTTGTAATTCTCTCGAGTATTTACCAGATGGACTCAAAAACCTCAGATCCCTTGAGACACTCGAGTTAAGTTGGTGTGACAGCCTTACATCCTTACCGGCGACAGGGTTACAAGGCTTGTCTTCCCTGAGATCATTGAGCATACAGAACTGTAAGGAACTAAGTTGTTTATCTGAAGGAGTAAAACACCTGACTGCTCTCCAATATTTGATGATAATTGGTTGTCCAGAGATGACGTTTTTGCCCGAAGACATGCAACATTTAAATGCTCTCCGAGCACTGTATATTGGAAGATGTCCACATTTGGAGAGGCGATGCGAGAAAGAGAAAGGAGAGGACTGGCCAAAGATAGCTCATGTTCGTGAGATTTGGATCAATTATCGGAAAATACAACCTTGATTGATTCATATGGTTGTGGTAGCCAGCAGCAGCTTGTGGAGCAGGCAGATAAAAATAAACTTTAGAAGGTAAATTTCTGTGACTTCCTTGTTGATGTATTATTTATTTCTCCCTGCAATTGCTCCTGCTCTGCTCTGCTCTTGGGGTCAAGTTATATTATAGCGATCCTAAACTCCCCCAAAGCATTGTAAAATATTTATTTATTTATTATAATTTGACTTCCAAAAAATAATAAATTTCAGTACATTGTTTGTCTTGTATGTGGTATGACCGAACAGCCTACAAGGTCTTGTTTGTCGCCGGATGCGTGAATGGTTGTAGGTAAGCCGGACAAACCAAAAAAGTTTATTCTGGTTGAGGTTGTCAGATTCTCTGGTGAGAGAGTAAGGGCATGTTGGTTTGAGTTTTAAAAAATAGTATCTAAAAATAATTTTTGAGAAGAATTTTAAGAAAGTGGTTTTAATATTTTTTAAAATAAAAAACTTATTTGGTTAGATGATTTCAAAAATAATTTTACAATACAGAAAATAGTAAAACCTGTTTGGACAACCTAAATATATATTTGAATAGTAATTCAAACATTAATAAAAAAATATAAAAAATTTATTTTTAGATTAACAATTTCATAAAAAAAAAAATCAAAAAATCAAACTTTAAAATATATATATATTGTTCACCTTATTTCCAAAATTTTCAAAGAAAATTATAAAAACAAGTTGCACTTGTTTTCTGTTTCTTTGACTCAAATCTCATTTTTTTTTTCAAAAATTTAGATAACAAAAATTCTAAACAAACTTGTTTTTGGTGTTTTTAAAATTTTGATAACAAAAAATTGATTTGGAGATGCTAACCAAATATGGCCTAAATTTTTGTACCTCTATGGGATTAGTTGGACTTGGAGAAACGATCTCAGCTATGTAGTTACAATTTTTTTTTTACTTTATTTTTGGGAGGGGGGCGGAGGGAGGAAGGGGGCTTGAACCCTTGACCTCAAGAAGGTAAAACCTTCACANGATGCATGATCTTGCAATGTCTATTATGATACAAGAGTGCTATATAATAGAGCCTGGGAAGGAGCTGAAAATTCCAGAAAAAGTTCGCCATTTATCTTTTTATGTGAGCTCACATGGGATGGTTCCTCGATGTGAAGATGTGCGAAAAGTGCAATCTTTACGCTCCATTGTAGTTCTATCATGGCACATGAACGGGAAGGATATTGCTACCTACATCTCAAAACAAAGTAATCTGAGAGTGTTGGANGAAGATGTGCGAAAAGTGCAATCTTTACGCTCCATTGTAGTTCTATCATGGCACATGAACGGGAAGGATATTGCTACCTACATCTCAAAACAAAGTAATCTGAGAGTGTTGGACTTGAATAACTGTTACTTGAACGAAGTACCATCTTCAATTGGGCATTTGAAACATCTTAGGTACCTCAACATGTCGAACCCTTGGATAAAAATTCCGAAATCAACGAGTTATTGTGAGATTCATCCGTTGCTCAGTTATAGGCAAACAATGACAGAACATGGGTCAGGGTGGTATAAAACTGAAAAATTACCATCTTCAATTGGGCATTTGAAACATCTTAGGTACCTCAACATGTCGAGCACTGTTATCAAATCCTTACCGGAATCAATGACTTGTCTGCAAAATCTACAGACATTGAAGCTGAAAGATTGCAGCCTACTTCGTAAATTGCCCAAAGGTATGAAAAATTTGAGAAATCTTAGATGTCTTGACATTAGAGGATGTGATTCTCTTGTTTGTATGCCTGCTGGACTCGGGCAGTTAAGACACCTACAGACTTTAAGCATCTTTATTGTGGGTTCGGACCGTGGTCAACAAATAGGCGAGCTGAAAGAATTAAATCTTAGTGGTGAGTTGACCATCAAGGGACTCCATAATGTAAGAGATTCAGAGGACGCAAGAAGTGCCAACTTAAAGAGGAAGCAGGATCTTTGTGCTTTGATATTGGATTACGAGGATATCAAGACTGACAACTTACAAGATAATGATGAAGAAATTCTTGATGGTCTCCAACCTCATCCAAATCTAAAGAAGTTGAGGATATGTTCGTATCAAGGCTTGAAGTTTCCTAATTGGATGCTAGATTTGGATCTTCAAAATCTGATTAAAATCTCTCTAGTTGGATGTAAGAGATGTGAACGTCTTCCACCTCTCGGGAAACTACCCTCCCTCAAGGATCTTTCTATTTTTGCAATGGATGCTGTTAAGTGTTTCAACAATGACTACTATGGAGATGGGGAACAATCATTTCCAGCACTGGAAAAGCTCAGATTCAGTGCAATGCATAGTTTGGAGGAATGGACAACAGTTGATAGAGGAGAAATTTTTCCTCGTTTGCGGGAATTATACATCAATCAATGTCCCAGGTTGACTGAATTTCCTTGTCTTCCATCACTTGGGAGATTAAGCATACAAAACATCAATGAGATGCTATTAAGGTCGGTGATGGATCTCACTTCACTTTCCTGGCTTGAAATATTTAGGTTTGATGGGTTGGAGTTTCTTCCAGATGGACTGCTTCAAAATCACAAGGTTCTTGAGACCCTATGGATTAGTGGACTACGCAATCTCAAGACCCTGTCACATCAGCTGGATAATCTTTCTGCTCTGAAACAATTGACAGTTAAGTACTNGAGACCCTATGGATTAGTGGACTACGCAATCTCAAGACCCTGTCACATCAGCTGGATAATCTTTCTGCTCTGAAACAATTGACAGTTAAGTACTGTAATTCTCTCGAGTATTTACCAGATGGACTCAAAAACCTCAGATCCCTTGAGACACTCGAGTTACAGGATTGTGACAGCCTGACATCCTTACCGGCGACAGGGTTACAAGGCTTGTCTTCCCTGAGATCATTGAATATATATTCCTGCAAGAAACTAAGTTGTTTATCTGAAGGAGTGAAACACCTGACTGCTCTCCAATATTTGCGCATAAATAGATGTCCAAAGATGACGTCATTGCCCGAAGACATGCAACATTTAAATGCTCTCCGAGAGCTGATTGTATGGTCTTGTAATGGATTAGTTTCTCTACCGAATTGGCTAGGAAGCCTCACGTCGTTGCAGTTTTTGAATTGCCCCAACTTGATCTCCTTGCCAGATGGGCTGCAGNTTAGTTTCTCTACCGAATTGGCTAGGAAGCCTCATGTCGCTGTCGACATTGGAAATTGGCAATTGGCCCAACTTGATCTCCTTGCCAGATGGGATGCAGTCACTCAAAACACTGTATATTAATGAATGTCCACATTTGGAGAGGCGATGCGAGAAAGAGAAAGGAGAGGACTGGCCAAAGATAGCTCATGTTCGTGAGATTGGGATCAATTATCGGAAAATACAGTCCTTGATCCCGCATGACTAAAATGCATCTGACGGAACAATCTTCATACGATGGTTGTGGTAGCCAGCAGCAGCTTGTGGAGCAGGCAGATAAAAATTAACTTTGGAAGGTAAATTTCTGTGACTTCCTTGTTGATGTATTATTTATTTCTCCCTGCAATTGCTCTGCTCTGCTCTGCTCTGCTCTTGGGGTCAAGTTATATTATAGCGATCCTAAACTCCCCCAAGGCATTGTAAAATATTTATTTATTTATTATAATTTGACTTCCAAAAATAATAAATTTCAGTACATTGTTTGTCTGTGGTATGACCGAACAGCCTACAGGGTCTTGTTTGTCGCCGGGTGCGTGAATAGTTGTAGGGAAGTCGGACAAACCAAAAAAGCTGATTTTTTTTCCCAATTTTTTTTTTCTTACTCTTTTTTATTTGTTCCAATTTGGTTTTCCTTCTTTTCCTTTCCAGCAATGCCATAGAAACCACAAAAAAATGGGAATTCTATAATTAGCAGATTCTTGGTTCTACTTGTGATTTTTGATGTGAAAATTAGAAGTAAGTCCCCCTAGATGTACTTGTTTGGAGATAAGTCTTACAAGAAAACTTATAAGGGTTAAGTCCATGTTTAAAATTATATGTAATGACTTAAGTCCACTTTTTTTTTTATCTCAAAAATACCCTTCCTTGAAAGGAAGTTAAATTAATTTCCTATTTTGAAAATTGTTATACCTTAATTCAATGTCAATTAAAATTAAAATTCAAAACTCTCTCTCTCTCTCTCTCTCTCTCTCTCTCGCGCGCTTTATATATATATATATATATACACCTAACTTATATATGGATATAGATAGATATGAGAGAGAAAAGATTTTAATGGTTAAGATATATATGGTTAAGACTTTTTATTGGTCATATATATATATATATATATATATATATACATAACCTATATATTTAAATTCATGTTATTATTTTTTTTATTATGTTAATGCTTTAATTGAGTCTGTTACTATTCATGTTACTATTATTTTGAATGTTACTATTTTTCATTTTTAATGTTACTATATATATATATATATATATCTGTGTGTGTGTGTGTGGATATATATAGATAAGAGAGAGAGAGATAATTTTAATGTTAATAAAATTCTTAACGTATATATGGATATAAATAGATATGAGAGATAAAATATTTTAATATTAGTCAAACTCTTAAGATTTAAGAGTTTTTAATTTTTAATTTTATTTCACTTTTAAAGAGAAAGGATACTATGGTAAAATTGACAAAAAATGGACTTCATAACAAATAAGTTTCCTTGACGGACTTAAGTCCATATATGAGGACCGGCCTCCAAATTTTCCATTTTTAATAGTTGGGACAAGATAATAGTAGAAGGATTATCAGATAATTTCAAGCTATTACTTTGTTTACTCATCTTTTCATGTCAATCAAATGGATTAGTGAAGTTTAAGGGCATTTCAAGGCTTGTTAAGTCTACTTAAATCAGCTCTGAATTGCTATGGATATTTTGCAGGCAACCAAGGCAAGGGAGAGGCTACTTGAGGGTAGATCTTCATCATGAAATGCATTGATTGATTGCTTGCTGCTTCATCATAAATTTGTTGAAAAGTTGTTCAAAAATGCTGTTGCACCTGATACAATTGTGAATCGATCGAATTTATTCTATAAGAATGTCCATGTCTGTCCATTTCCATTTGTATTAATTAGTTGGTACACACGTGCGTTGTGTTGTACTTAAACTATATTACACCATTTTTATTTGTATTAACTAGTTAATGCACACGCGTGTGTTGTATGTATGTGAACCATTTTGACTTAAAATATTATTCTAAGGTGTCATTGTTATCCAAGTTACAACCATCAGAAGAAATAAATAATTATGTTTGTTGTGTTGGAGATGTCTGACCAAATATAAGCAACTGAGCTCCTTGGTCAATTCCTGCATTCTGAGCGTAATAGATTGAACTATCCTAGCGGCTAGATTATACAATAAATTTATAATACTAATGACTTATATTAGTAGAAATGAGTTCTCGTAAAAAAACAATAACTTTTCATTGTCCAAAAAAATTGTACATTTCGTATTTAAATAAAAGAAAAAATTTGAGTCACACCCTTTCTATTTTACTATATTTTCAAGGACATTTCTTCTATTATCCAAAACATCACTAACATCCTTTCTAATTTATATTTAAACATCATTGACACCCCCTATCGTTGAACCACCATTTCTTATAAATTTTTTATCTAAAATACTCAAATTACCCCTATATAAACTTCAAATAATCTTTCTACTATATTTTATATATTAAAATTTCAGTCAATTAGAATTCGATTTTTCACATATTAACAGTTGAGCCAATAAAAATTCGATTTAACTTGATTAAATTTTAATTTTTTTATATATTAAAATTCGAGTCTATTTGAACTAAACTTCAACTGTTAACATCCACTAAATTTTTTTATTTTTTTTTACATATTAAAATTGGATTCAAGTCGATTAAAATTCATTTTTTACATATTAAAATTTGAGTTAATTAAAATTTATATTTTTTTTACGTATCAAAATTCGAACTGATTAAAATTCAATGTAAGTTAATTAAAATTTGATTCGAGCCAATTGACCTAAATTTTAATATCTAAAAAAATTCATAAATAAAAAAAATCTCATTAAAGATATGCCTATCTAGAAAGAATGTGGATGAAAATTTTCAACTGGCCCAAAAAAATGACAAGGTATATGAACAAACAAAATCACACACAATAAATTTTTTATTTGAATACAAACTGTGGAATGCCTTATATTTGTTCTTCCCAATATAATAAATGCACATCTTCTTAAAAACCAGAGTAATTTGTAGATCGATTGTTTGCGGCAGAAGTCCATCAAAATTTGAAAATTCATGTAACAACTTCAATTTGTAGATCCAAAAATGTGGGAGGACAAAGGGTTAAGCCCAATTATTTGATTTTTTTGTCTTAGTTAATTGGAAGAAGATAGTTTCACATATCTAATCTATATCTTAGAATAAGTGGGCAATATTGAAGTATGAAGTCAATCAGAACTAATACTCCTAAAATAGGCAGCTATAGGCCTCCTTTCAATGGTTAGTCCATAGTCATTAGAAGCATACAACTATCCACGTCCTGGTATAAAGCGTAAAATTGATTCAACAAAAATCTTGAAAAAAGCTATTTCCGAGTCTTTGAATAGTGCTGCCAATGCAAAGACAATACTGATACCTTGTGAGCTTGGCAATGAGTTGATGAAAAATGAGAATAAAGAGAGAGAGAGAGAGAAATAACAAATTGAACTAACCACACAATAGAGAAAATTTAACAATAATATTCACTGTTATGATTTCATGGCCAAGGTTTAATTTATGAAATCACAAGGCAGGCAAATAAGTAAGCAAAGGTCAATAAATTACGGTGGTGAGCCTGCATTTGGGTTCACTTTTCTTTGGCGTTCTCAACAGAATTATAGATCAAACCAAAAACCAGTTGATTTACCTACTACAAAAATGGGTACTGCACTTGAACACAGAAATGGCATCTGGAGCTTTCACCTCATATATCCTCCACGATTTCTCCTCCAATTCAGCCTAAGTCGGTGTTCCAAATATCACGAGGTCATTTTGAAAATTCTTACACTTTAAGATGTTGGTTGATCATTAACTTAATATAGAATTTGCTGCCTTTCGCCATTTTCGTACACCATGATCTTGTTGGTCAATGTTATCCTGCATACCGAGAGAGCATGTAAGCAGGTCATGATTGTGTTAATTTAATAATTCTAACTAAAAGCTAAACATGCAAACCGGCATATAATTAAACAAACCAATACTCANCAGGTCATGATTGTGTTAATTTAATAATTCTAACTAAAAGCTAAACATGCAAACCGGCATATAATTAAACAAACCAATACTCACAAGTAATAAATCAAATAGACCTGCTATAAAAACATACTTTTCTTGACAAAATGAAGTAGAGCAAATAGACAAAAGTAATAAATCAGAGAAACCTATTACAGAAACATTTTGAGAGAGAAGGTACCTATAACCATATGGATAAGTTAGTGGCTTCTAATGCATACCCAATATGGCAGTCGAATGTTTAATAACAAATGGGAGCTCACTTATTCCCTTGCTTTTTATTTGTTGTTTATTTTCCTATTTTGTTTGCCCTCACTTGCTCATCCCTTGTGGTTATTGATTAACATCATAGCCTCTTTTCTCTTTCTACATGTACCAGAAAGAAAAGATAGAAATACCAAAGCATCACAGATACATATAGACACTGTAAAAAAAGGCAACATTAATTGATTCCAAATGTGAAAAGCAACAGCGGATTGTTTCCGAAAAATGAAATGTTTTTTATTATGTGAAAAAAATATCGAAACTAGAGTATATCACCTTCCATCTTCCTAATCAAATGTCATTCTTAAATATGCAGTATTCAGATAGATAATTTTTATGGAATGCGATTACCTACATTGTTTTAATGATATTTGTTTGATTCTCTCTCAAAAAACGTGTTTGAAAGAAAAACTAACCGAATTAGAAAAACCTAAAGAAATCATGCTAAATGAACAATGGGAAATCATCAAAAGATCATAAGATAATGAATCATACATTATCATTTCTAAATGGATGGCTCACCAAAAGTGAAATAAAGAATGCAAATAAGCGCCTCATTACAAAACACAATTGACATCAATGAAACCATGAACAAAGACATTGCACCAATTATTTCTGGCCGGAATCGCTGGTCTTTACACAATCTTCAAAGCTAACAATTGTACAGGCTGCTTATGAGAACTACAGACTACAAACCAATATACTCTTAGATGTCCTTATCATGAATATATGTTTGGTAT